ACGGCCAGTTCAAGCTGCGCGCGAGCTCCGCCTTGAGCCTCTTCTCGTCCCCGCGCGCGCGCTCCTGCGCGAGCTTGACCTCCCACCCGCACAGATTGTACAGCAGGCGCATGTTCGGCTGGATGAGCACCGACAGCCGCCGCGAGCGCACGATCAGGTACGCGTCCACGAGCGGGAGCTGGAGGTGCTTCATCACGTACGCGATCTGCCAACCACCAAAAGTTCAGGATTTCACTACAGAAAGACAAAGAGGGAGCAAGGACGCACGGTGACGGTCGCGCTCCGCGACACCCCGACACGACAATGCACGAGCACCTGCCCGCCCTCGCGCCGGGCCTTTTCGATCCAATCGCAAATCGGCTCCAGCTGCGGCTCGAGGGTGTCGATGCCGTCGTCGCACACGCCCTTGATATCCAGCACCTTGATCCGCCCCTCGCGCTCCTCGATCCACAGCGATCCCTGGCGCCCGGGCCCCTTCCCGGGCACGTACGACGTCGTCGTGCACGACGCGCCGCCGCCGTGGGTGTAGGTCGTCGAGGACGAGGGCATGACCGGGGTCACGTCCGGCGGGGGCACGAGCGCGCATTCGCCGACGGAGACGACGTGCGTGATGCCGAGCGCGTGCAGCATGTACGCGTTCGAGGCGTGGTTGCTGGCGGGCAGGAGGCGTTGAGCGTTGAGCTACCGAGGAGCGATGCGCGGGAGACGACACTCACAGGTTTCCGAGGTACAAGAACGGCAGGACCCGGCTCGGGAAGCTCCCGTCGAACCGGGGGTCGTCGAACCACACCTGGTGATCCGCCACCAGCGAAGGGAGTAGCGGACTGGTGCTCGCGCGCGGGCGGCGCATGCTCGGCACGGTCACGGGTGGGGGTCGGGCATCGACGGGCGGGGGAGTCGAGTCAGTCGACGCCTCGGCGGTCTGGGGGAGGTTGGAGGGTTCAGAGGCCATGGAGTGCTCGGTGAAGTTGGCCGGGAGCGAGTTGGGCAGGGTGTTGGAGTGGGCGTGGGTCGGCCTGGAGAACGAGATGAAGCGGGAGGGGCTGTAGGCGTGCGTGTACGACGGCGAGCGGGAGCGGCCGGGCGAGGCCTGCGCCTGGCGGTCGTTGATCAGTTTCGTCTCGACCCGGCGGAGGAGCGTGAGGTCGGTCTGGTAGACGAAGAAGCTGCGTTTCTTCGCGACCTAGACGCACGAAACGCGATCAGCCAGCCGTCCATGGACCGGACGAGAGAACGCGCACCTGCAGCTCCAGGTAGGCCTCGGCGAGGGTGATCCCGCGCACGAACATCAGCAAACACAGCGCGAGCACGCTGCTCTCCGTGTACCCGTCGCTGCTCCAGATCAGCACCCGCGCCCCGCGGCCGACGTGCTCCGTGCTCGACGTCTTCCGCATCCTGTCCGCCGCGCCCGGCGTGAGGATCCGCTGGAGGAACTCGAGCAGGGGTCCGACCCGAGTGTGGTTGCTCGGCGAGCTGGGGAACCGGATGTGCACGATCGCGCTCGGATGCGGCGGCGGACGCACGTCGCCCGCCGCGCCTGCGCCCGCGTTGCGGCGCGCGACCCACGCCGCCTCGAGGGCGGTCAGGTGGTCCTCTGCCGCACGCAGCTCCTCGGCGCTCGGGATCGGCACGCAATCGTGGCACGCGATGCAGACGTCGAACCCGTAGCCGCGCGCGGGGTCGTTCGCGGCGTGGTCGAACGGGTCGTTGCGCTCGTTCTCGGCCGGGAGCGGCACGTCGTTCGCGTTGCCGAGGAGGACCTGGCCGGCGCGGGGCGGGTCGCCGCCGACGCTCACGATCTCGCTCGCGCGCGTCAGATCGCGCATCTCGTCCTTCTCCCGTTGCGCGAAGCTGACCGTGTTGGCCGTGGTCGTGCCGCTCGCCGCGTGCGCGTCCGTGCCGTCCGTGTGCGCGCCGGTGCCGGAGCGGGCGTCGGCTTCGGTGCGGGTGAGGAGATGCGGGAGCTCCCGGGCCATGTCCTCGTGCGAGGCGTTGAGCACGAACACGTTGTAGCGCACGGGGGCGTTGTTGGCGTCCGCCGAGAGCCGCTCCTCCGCCTTGGCCTCGACGGCCTGCTTGAACTTTTCGGCGAGCGCGAAGGCCGCGCGCGATGCGCCCCGGCGGGAGTAGACGACGATGTCGGAGAGGGTGGCGTAGATAGGCTGGAGGAAAAGCGCGCGTCAGTTGCGTTGGCGGAATGCGGGGAAAGGCGCCCATGATGGACATTGGGCGCCAAAACGGAACGGCACGGACGAAGGACTCACGACTTGAATGCCAAAATTGCGGAGGGAGATGCCGTCGGGAACGCGCACGGTGGCAAAGCGGACGTCGCCGCGCTCGTTGACCTCGAGGAGCTCGCGCGCCTTGAAGGTGGACGTCAAGCGGGGCGATAAGCCGCTCGGGAGCGGGACCGCGCACTGGGACGGGGAGAATTGGGTGGGATCGGCGTCGCAGAGCGGGGAGGAGGGCAGGGAGGAGGCGGCGGTGGAGTAGGAGGCGGTGGTAAACGTGGGAGAAGGCGGGGTGGAGTTGGTGCTGGACACGGTCGAAGAGCGCTCGTGGATGAAGAGGGGCTGGGTCGCTGTCGGGGGCGGGGAGGGCGCGCGGCGGGCGAGAGGGTGCATGTATGCGCTCTCGTGTTGTTCGGAATCGCCTTCGTCGCCGTCCGAGTCGGCGTCCATGTCCATCGCGAACGTCTGCTCGTCCATGTCGACCTCGATGTCGGAGCTGTAGTCGTCGTAGTCGTCCTCCTCGCTCTCCTCGCCCTCCTCCGCGTCTTCTTCGACCGCGACCCAGATGAGACCCCTAAAGTTGGGGACCTTGGCGGGCCCGCGACGGCCGTCCTCGGCGACGATGTAGCCGGTGGAAAAGAAGGAATTTTGGGCCTGGTTGTCGCCCTCGAGGCCGTGCAAGAAGGGGAAGAGGGCGCCGTCGGGCGGGTGGGCGAGCTGGGAGCGGTGGTGGAGGGTCGCGAACTGGGCGGCGGACAGCTGGCGGATGGGGGTGTGTGGAGACGGGCGGGGGAGGAGAACGGGGAGGGTGGAGAGGAAAGCGGGGGAATAGGCGAGACCGTGTTCTGGCGACGACATGGAGAGGGCGGCGGGGTCGTGGGCGGTGTCGTGGATGGGCTTATCGTCGTCGTGCTCGTCGTCGTCGTCGTTGTCGGGCGGAAGAGGCGGGCGCTAATACTAAATAATAGATCGACCTACGCTTATCTCACCGCATTTTCTATGTCCGCTTACGGCTTTCTCGAAAATATACGCTCAGAAATTACAAAGAAAGCACCGTTCGATTGTCCCGCTCCAGGAAGAATGGTCTACAGCTATTCGACAAAGCGGCGGGAATACAAAGCGCGCGAGACGACGCGTCGATGCCACCGACGTGCAGCGCGTCGAACGCGACAATGGCAAGTGCGGTCGTACCTCATCCCTCCCCCCGTTATGGACCGGTCGTTTGGTGCGGCGGTCTCCGTCAGGGCGCGACTTGGGCGCGACCCTGCGCGACGGTGACGAGATCCAAGCTAGACCTTTCAAAGGAACGAAGCCTTGGAGCTTGGAGCTTGGAGACTCTGGAACGAAGGCTCGGGCGATTCATGTGGTGATCTTACTCACGAGCCGCGCAGTACCGCAACCTCCAGCTCAAACGTTTCTCCTTCACTGCACCGAGCCATCCGCCAAGGCACCAGGATCATTGAAGAACGGGTTGTTGCAGAGGCGGTGCGAGGATACAACGAGGATACTTGAAGTCTTGAAATTTGAAAGGCAAGCAAGGACAACTTGACAAGAATCACAAGATCGACGCAACCGAACGTGACCAGGCCCTCCCTGCTGCGCTCATGCCTTATGAGATCAATGGCACGGCCGATGACGCTATACACCGCGTACTCACACCTACTCACACCGTCCATCCTCTGCTCACTGGCGGTCTGAGTGGTCGAGACATCCGCGCGATGTTGGTGCGGTCGTGAGAGATTACTTAGAATCTCCGAATTCCAACTCGGTGCAAGTGTCCTCGTTGTCGAGGACAGCTGCCACGGTAAGTAACTGCCAGAGTACGCATGGCGTGGGTATCAGTCGAGGTGAATTGTGCTATGGAGCTGGGCACTACTATGGCCGGGATAGCTCAGCTGGGAGAGCAACAGACTGAAGTACTACAGCAAGGAGGCGTTCTGGAGGTCCCGTGTTCAATCCACGGTCCTGGCATTTTTGTGCATTTTATTCATTCAACTCCCCGTTTACGTTTTAAGTTTTGAGTTTTTAAATTTGAATTATTATCTTATTATCTTTCAGTTTTAACTTTTCACTTTCAGTGTTCACCGGCACCCGTAGACTGTAAGCCTGTACTACTATGTAGCTGCTAGCGGTAGGGCCGTAACGCGTTTGAAGTCTCCACTTCAAGCTTTGACTCGTTTCCTCCATCGCCATGAAAGTGATGCGAATAAGGATGAACTTGAAGCTGTCCCAGCATATACAACAACCTCCCGATCTATCCACCTAAATCCCTCCGAGATACAAATGCTTACACCACGAACAGACTTCCCCCTTTCCAAACCTCCCCCGCCCCCGCCCCCGCCCCTCGCTACACCGCACCCGCACCCGCACCCGCCTCCCTCTCCTGCAGAATCACCTCCCTCAACCTCCTCAACGCCTCCTGCACGTCCGCCTCCTCCAACAAACTGAACGACGCGCGCACGTACGCCGTCTGCGCCCCGTTCGGGAGGAAGACCGTGCCGGGGAGCGCGAGCACGCCGGCCTGGTACGCTTTGTTCCGGATGAGGTCCGTCGAGTCGCCTTCGACGTCGGACGTGGGGTGGATGAGGAGCTTGAACCTGAGGAGGAGGTGTAGCATCAGCGTTTCCCTCCGCGCGGGTCTGTAGGGGGGGAGGGGGGGGGACGAAGACGCGAGGGACAAAGACGCGGGGGACGAAGACGCGAGGGACGAAACGCACCAAAAGAACATCCCGGCCTCGGGCGTGCTCCACTCCGCCAACCCCTCCAACTGCGCCCTCAGCGCGCGCTCGAACGCGTCCCGCTTCGCCCTGTAAAACGCCGCGACCGCGCGCGCGTGCGTCTTGAACCCGTCGAGGCCCCACGCGTCCAGGAGCGTGTACACGACCGCTTGCGCGAAGGAGCACGCTTGGAGGTTCGCGGAGGAGGTCTATGTGCACGAACGAAGGGGATGAGTCCCGTCAGTTCCGGTGAGGCTCGAGACATTTGGGTAGGCAGGGGAAGAGGGGGAGAGGGGGAGAGGGAGGAAGGAGCGCGCACATGCATGTCGATGGCGTCCACGAGCGCCGCGGGCCCCGTCGCGAACCCGATCCGGATCCCGGCGGAGAGGATCTTGCTGAAGCTGTCGAACCGGAGCACGCGCCCGACGTCCCCCGTCTGCGCCTCGAGCGTGAAGTACGACGGCGTGCGCGGGGCGGCGCCGTAGTACAGGTAGTAGTACGGGTCGTCTGCGCAGATCGAAAACACGGCCGAGATGAGTTATGGACAAGGGGGGAGGGGAGGGGGAGAAAGGCACCTTCGAGGATGAGGAAGTTGTGCGCGCGCGAGAGCTCGAGGACTTCGAGCCGGCGGTCGAGCGTGGCCGTCATCCCGGTAGGATTGCATCCATACTGCGAGGCAGCCGAGACAGGTCAGCGTGACACAGGTAGGAGCGGGAAACAGGAGAGCGCACAGGCACAGTGTAGAGCGCCTTCGGTTTCGGCTTTGCCGCGGGCCAGCTTTCGAGGATGTCACGGAGCGAGGACGAGCGGATGCCCTGGGCGTCGGTCTCGACCTCTGCCGGACACGGGCGCAGTTAGAAATCTGAATGGGGAAAGTGAAAGGGACGGCGCACCGATCATGTCAAGGTGGAGGGATTGAAAGATGGGGATCACCCCACTGTAGGCGCGGTCAATTGCGCAAGGAGGGGACAAGGGCGCGCATACACGCACGCGTAGACGGGTTTTTCGACGAGGATCGCGTCGCCGGGGTCGAAGATCGCGTGGACGGCCTGACGCGCGTCAACCCGCGCATTCCCTTCCAACGGAGGAACACACGCACCTTGTAGATCGCGTCCTGCGACCCCGCCGTCGCGCTCACGCGCCATCCCTCCGCGCCGCTGTTCCGCGCATGCTCCCGCTCCTGCAGCATCGTCAGCCACGCCACGAGCGGCGGTATCCCGTCCGTGTTCGCGTACTGCAGGCCCTGCGCGAGCACGCCGGGCGGGACGACGAGCTCGAGCTCGCGCGCGGGGTCTTCCGGGGCGTGCGTCGTGAACTGGACGGCGCGGAAGGGGAACATGGTCGCGTTGGGTTTGCCGGCGAGGAGGGAGATCACGCCGGGGGTGCGCTCGAGGGGGAAGAGGCCGCGGACTGGAGCGAGGTGAGGTTCGAGGTGGGGTGAGGGGGATTGGGGCGACGTACTGGGGCTCGGCTTGCGGTTCTTCGCGAGATCGGAAAGGAAGGGCGTGTAGAACTCTTCCGGGAGGTGTGCGACGGGTTTCTGGGCCTATGCGTCGTCGCGTTAGGGGTTGGAGATCGCGAGAGGGGAGGGTATATGCTCACCGAAGCGGTCTGGGCAGGCTCGGAGACGGCGACGATGCCGTCTACGCCGTTGGGGACGATGGTGGGCGATGTGGCCATGGCAAGTTCTGATTATGGGGGAAGGGGATGGGCGAAGAGATGGATGTTGATCGACAGAACGAGAAAAGGGTCGGCCGACGAAAATCTGTCTGTCATCCGTTGGCTCGAGTCACAAGTCGCCTGGGAGTCCGGGGTTGTGCAGGGTTGTGCGCTTCAAGTGGAGGCGCCCTGTATGGAATGTGCACATGCGCGTGGATACTTTCGACGTTGCGCGAGGTCGTGTACTTGGTACATTTGTAGGAACTGAATGTGAGCGAGCGGAGAGGACGGGAAGAGGAGTGCGGAGAGGATGTAAGACGGACTTACACGTGTGCCGCCTCGGAGCAAGCCAGGGTCGTTAGCCAGCATCCCCCCACGTATGTAGGCTTCGCATGTGGATTATATAGCAAAGTCCCAAGCAAGCCCCGTGCTACCGTATATACATGCCCAACAGGTCAACAGTCAACAAAACGAAACGAAAAACTAGCAACGAGTGACGTATGTACGATGTAAGCAGCGCGTACGGTTCCAAACAGCGCGTACGGTTCCAAACTATATGTGCAACGAAAGAAAACGCGCCCCCGAAGCGAGGGAGGGAGGGGGGGCAGTTATAGCTGTGGTACTGTACATATACAGGGGACTAGTTACAGCGGTGTTTCGTGAATAGACGTGACAGGGGTCATGATGACGGATGTGGGGATGGAAAGACATTGGAGGGTGACGATGAGATGAGACGAGGATGGGAGAGGGCAGAGGGTCATGGGTGCGAAGAAGCCAGATGTAGGATGAGAAAGAACGCATGTCGCTCTCGCGAGCGGGGAGGTAAATATGAACATAAAGAAACGGGGTGGACAAGATCGCGGAAGTAAACGGATGAGAGACCAGTGTGAAGGAGGATGTGTGGATGGGAGAGACCGAGCGGGACGCATGGGTATCTAAAACGTAATAAAATAGGGGGAAAGGTGGGGTGGAAACATAAACACAAGAAAGTGGGGGAGGTTCATTGAGTAGTGGTACAATGCGCGATGAGAAGAAACGGAGCCTGGGAGGGGAGGTAGAGTGGGGGTATTCGGAAGATTAGGGACCAGTACAGAACCTAGGATGAGGATATAATGGATTCGCAGGGAAGGAACGGAGGATCATGGATCATGTAGGCCAGTTGCGAACGACGCGCGCCGCACCCCCACCGAGACGACCAAGGAAGTTCCACACCGCGGCGGTGCCGTCGTTGGAGAAGCCCTCGCCGGCGGCATGCATCGTGTTGAAGCTCGACCACGCCGCGCGATCGTAGTACGTAGGGCCACCTGGCACCGCGTACGGCTGGGTGAGGAACGGACTCATGGCCACGAACACCACGGCCGAAGCCGCCATGGCCATGATGAGCTGCGACGCCGGGAACCCGTTGGGCGCGCCCTCCCCGCCACCGCCGTACACATACGTGTTGTAGATGTTGTAGAAGCGTCCGCGCCTCCTCGCACCAGGACCGCCATCCTTGCGTGACACAGAAGTGCCTCTCTCGATCACCTTGTCGATGACGAGGCACCCGACGCCGACCTCCTCCTTCAGCATGCGCCAATCCTCGGCGTTCTCCTCCGAGATGCCACCCGGGACCGTGTGCATGGGGATGTGCAGACCGGGGTGGTGGCTCTTGATCACTTCGGCGGCCGCGATGTACTCGCGCCGCTGCTGGGGGTCGGTGAGATTGGAGAAGGAAGGATCTGTCGCGTTGAGGAGTTGTTCGATATGGTGGGAGAGGGAGGTGGCGGTGTTGTAGGAAGGAGGTGACTCGGGCGGGATGGCGAGGAGGTCGATTGTGTTGGCTCTAGGTGTAGGCGGAAGGACGGTGGACGACGAAGACGCCATGGATTCCTCCTCTTCCGGCGGCGGCGAGGGCGAGCGAGAAAGAACAGGCTCCTCCACCGCGTCCGTTTGAACCTCCATCTCGACGGTCACCCGGGGAGGTGGGACCTCTTCCGGATCGGTCTGGATATCCATGGAACATGTCTTGGGCGCCTCGGTCTGCACGCTGAAGGAGGCCGTGAGGATTTTCGGTTCGGGGTCCGTCTGGGTGGTCGACGTCGAATGGAACGGGGCAGGGTCGTACTGCGTGTATGCGTCCGCGTATTCCCGTTCGTCGAGGATGGTTAACGGCTCCATCGCATTCGCGCGACTCAGACCTCTCTGCGAACACAGGTCAGCACACACTCGGTAGTCCATAGAACGAAAAACCTCATACCCTCTTCTTTCGAGTGATGATCGTCTGGATGACGTCCTCGCCATCCGACTCCTCGATGTTTTCAATCTCCAGCTCCTCTAGGGCCGTCGACGCGGAGGACTCGCTCTGCCATGGTTGCCCTTGCAATTGACCCGCCAGCTCCGCGCCAAGAGACTTGCTGATGCTGCTCGGTTGGCTCGTGCCGTTCGCCGCGGTGTTGCTGGTAAGGCCGTTCCGAAGCTCGTCCATGTCGAAGCGCATCCGGTCGATGGTCTCCTTGAGCATAAGGTTCTCGTGCTTCTGGTCGTCCAGCGTCATTTGCGTCTGCTGCGCGACCGCGATTTCGTGTTCGAGGAAGGCGATGCGCTCTTCGTAGGCAT